TCATTCACTCAGGCTCGTCTACTCAAGACTGTGGATAAATTGGTCAGTCAGATCTATAGATCTAAATTCCATAGAGCATGTTTGGGTTGCTGTCTCCAGACTAATTGCACACAGCTACTAAGTCTCTTCCCAGAACACTCCCGGAGTTAAGAAGTGTCATGGTAGAGGACTGAGATTTATTGTCTCAAGACCTCCCAAACAGCGCTGTAAGCAGCATAAGATTTCGTTTTATTGCTGTCTCTTATAAAACCCTCCATCGTGATTCTTTTTAATAGAAGTTAGCTTATTAGTGTGTGACGTAGGTTATATTGAGCGTGTTTAAGCTATCGTGGAATCAGTTGAGGGTCCGTATTATTATCCCAGGCTGTTGAGTCTCACCTCCGTGCTCTACTATCTGATCTGTTATCTTAATTAGATTGTTATTGTGCCTGCGTGATATTTTGGTAACAATAAAATAAGTAGTGTGTATCATGTCTGTTGATTATTCAGTTTCTCCCAGACACCTAGCCGGGTCTGCGGGTAGACAAGGGGTTTCAGAGGGAAGCAGGAACCGACCGACATTGCAGTGTGAAGGCCTTCCGAGAATTATTCTGTGAATTTTGCTGCTGTATTCTGTATTTCAAGGATTGCTATAAATTTCCATTGCTTCTGAAGAACTGCTCTTTCAGACTGATTGAAAAATTCTCAAACTCCGGTCTACGTAGACGGAGAAAAAAAAACCCACGAAAAAAAATCTAAAACTTGAAGTCGAATTTTGATTAGATAAAGTTGATTTCTGTAAATCAAGTAGAGAGGCAAAGAAATTTTAAGACCAATGACTGCATTGATTATAGGAGGTGCAGAAAGATTCATCACGAATTAAGGAAAGATCAGCTAAAACAATGTAATTTTGATTACATGTCATTTATTTTATATCTGTTTATTATCTATGAAAAAAATTAAAAAAAGAGATATTGCATTGATTTCTTATTTTTTTAAGAAATATTTTTATATAATGATTCTCGCGGAAACTAAATTCAAAAAAGATTCTAAACTTTGATTAGTCCACCGGATCTTCGTATTCGATTGTTTAACATTCATGACCCAAAAGTCTGTTAAGGAATATATGAGAACAGGTATGGAATTTTAATCTAATTTTTTTCGATTATATAAGAAAAGCGAGCATACCAGGAGGATGTTATTAACCTTTTTAACAGAAATGATTCGAAGTTTAATTGAAATTCTTCCTTTTTTCTGTAATTAGCAAAAATAAGTATTGTTTGGTCATGAAGAATGAGGTGAGTCGAAATCAGTACATCCTTGCTTTCGATAATATTTAGTTGGTATTCTTTTAAATCAAAATTTGTTATTAATGATATAAGTTTTATGTTTAAAAATTATGTTTATAGGATTTTTCGCCTCTTATAGTAGGTTTCATAATTATAACATAAATTATGGAAAAATATACCTTTATTACATAATATCACTAAATATTATGATACGTATTATACCAGACTTCTAATTATGTACGCCATTAAATATTTATAAGATTAAAATTGTTCAATTACATTTTTTATAGAATAACTTTTTTTCATTTGATATACATTAAGAAGCAGGATTCTATAATTTTCAATCAATACCTTCTTATTTTGACATAAAAAGTGAGTTAGAGTTAAGCGTGGAGATATTTTCATGCATTACAATCATTCTTATCAAAGACATTCTGGAAATCTAACTCAAAGACTTAGAACAGAAAGTTCTTTAGATTTCGAAATGTTTGCAATGACTTATTTTGCTTGAGGCAAAGACTTCATAATAATTGTTAATTGTCAGATAACGTCATTTTTTCAATTCCAACTATTAGTCCACTCTCTCACTAATACACTGCTGGCCACCGTATAAATGCAACACCAAGAAAGACAAGAGATATCACAATAAAATTTATTTCGTAGATAACATGTTGACCAAGTAACAAATGATTAAATTTATAGACTTCTGTGAAGTGTGGTTTCTGCCAGAATCAGTAGCCAGAGTAGCCGCCATTGTTGGAGATCACCGCTGCCACACGCCTCGGCATTGGTTCAAAGAGACTTTGGATGTGTTCTTGGGGTACAGCAGACCAAGCAGCTTCCACACGTTGCCAAAGTTGTGCTGGTGTGGCAGCTGGGGGTGTAATCTGGATCAATCGTTGAGCAACCATAGACCACATGTTTTCTATCGGTGAAAGATCCGGAGAGCGAGCCGGCCAGGGAAGTAATTCAATCTGGTGATTGACGAAGAACCTGTGGAAAATGCGTGCCACGTGTGGTTGCGCATTATCCTGTTGAAATATGGCTGTGGCCAAGCCCTGAAGGTAAGGAAGGACAACTAGCTCCAACACCTCGGAGATGTAGCGCTGGCTGTTTAAAGTACCGGCAATGCGTAGTAGAGGAGTGCGAGAGTGATATCCAATACCGCCCCATACCATAATACCCAGTACAGGACCAGTGTGGCGGTGCATAACGCAGCTGTTCAGCATCCTCTCTCCACGGTGTCTCCAGACTCGAATCCGACCATCGTGGTGTTGCAGACAAATGCGTGACTCGTCAGTACAGACAACTTCATTCCATTCTGCCGCCCATATCCTTCTTTCATCGCACCATTGGCGGCGGAGACATCTGTGGTTCTGCGTCAAGGGTAGACCAAGTAACGGACGTCTTGCGGACAGACCACTCTGCTGTAAACGGCGTCGAATGGTACGCGCAGACACTGAATAATGCGTTACAGACTCAATGTGCTGTGCTATGGTTCGTGATGTGACTGAGCGATCCGTCACTGCCATGCGCACAATTTGCCTGTCCTCACGTGAAGTGGTGCACTGAGGTGGATGCGATTGACCACGTTGGTCCGTCGTACCCTCCTGCATCCAACGGTCACATATCCGCATTACAGTTGTTTGGTTTCGTCCAACACGACTACCGATTTCCCTGAAAGATAATCCACAATCTCGGTAGGCCACTATCCTTCCTCTATCGAACTCGGATACTTGATCAAAAGCTGATCGCTGGTTTCTACGAGACATAACTGATCGTTTTTTGAAAAAACCACAGGAAAAACACAATTGCCGAACTTGAAATCTCCAAGCCTTAAATAGCGCTTTGAGGTGGCGCCACAGGCGTGCGTAAAGTGTGTCTGAACTGAAATTCAAATCATTTGCATATCTCACCTCCGCTAATGCATGTTGTAAATTTCATGTTATTTGCGTGCTTCCTTCAGGGAGTTGCATTTACGGTGGCCAGCAGTGTATATATATACACACTGGTGTCTAAAAGTTAAACATAAATCGTAAAATGCGAAAACCATGGAGTAAATATTCGTAAAATTATTCCAAATTTCATGCAGATATTAATTGGGTGAAGAAGAAACATTGGGCTTATGTGAAACTTTTCAGTCGACTACGTCCTGCGCGAAACACCGGCGCATATCGGAACGCAGAGAAACCGATTCACGCAGCATAGGCAGTTCAGACAAGTTTCATGCAACTGCTGTGCGAAGGAACGTTGTTAACCATCAAACAAGGTGAATGATTGCACAAAGACGCCAATTGGACATGTTTACGAAAGGAAGAATCTTTGGAATGCTGGAATTGCACGAACCGAAGTGTCTCGAATTCTGAATGTGGACCAGTCTGTGATCTCAAGACTGTGGCAGAGGTTTCAAAGAACGGGAGATGCTAACCCGAAAACCAGTATCAGGTCGACCAAGAGTCACAATTCCTCGCCAAGACCGATATCTGGTAATAAGTGTGCGACGTCATAGGGGCAGTACTGCCAGAGCACTGGGTTTGGCGCTCGCCACAGGAATACGAATTTCGAGACAAACTGTTTACAGCAGACTCAATCATGCTGGCCTCTATGCCAGAAGACCAGCAGTTTGCATACCCCTCACGTCTGCGCATAAACGCGCTCGTTTGAACTGGAGATTGAAATATGAACATTGGAGTGTGGGAGAGTGGGCCAATGTGATGTTCAGTGACGAGTCCCGGTTTAGTCTGAGTAGTGATTCTCGGCGGGTAACGCTATGGAGAGAACACGTTTTGAACAAAAGAAACATAACGGAAAGACATCATTTTCTATCAAGGGAGTAATGGTATGGGCAGGCATTATGATGGACGGCCACACAGATCTCCATTCTTTGACACGGGGTCTGTGACTGCTCAAAGATACAGAGACGAAGTTCTTGAGCCTTATGTTCGCTTGTTTCGAGGTGCTGTCGGTCCTGACTTTATATTCATGGATGATAATGCGCCATGTCACCGAGCGGTGCTGATTGATGACTTCCTTGAAACGTTAAACATCCAGCGCATGTCGTGGCCTGCGAATTCCCCTGATTTAAATCCTATCGAGCATGTATGGGATATGCTCGGGAGACAAATTGCAGCCCTTTCGCACCCACCAAGATACATTACAGAACTGAATAGAGCTCTCCAAGAAGCCTGGAACTGTTTGAGCCCACAACTCATTCATCATCTCACAGCAAGTACGTTAAATCGCTGTGCAGCGTGCCTGGCTGTCAGAGGTGACCACACGCCTTATTAAACTGCAGCATCAGTATTTTATTTAATGTTTTCTTTCATTTTTTCTTTAAAGTGTGAATCCTTGCTATGCTCAGTTTTCTTTCAAACTGCTACTTTGGATAATAAAATTAATTATTATCATTCTTTTGATTTGCTTCCTTATTTTATAACCATTTTACACTCGCATATCACGTTTCCCGCCATTCTGATTTACAGTTCCTTCTTTATTCACATAATTATCAATTATGCTTAACGTTTGGACACCAGTGTATATCTTGTTTAAATTTTCAATCGAATAAAATACTTTCTACTTATCCCTTCAAATTCAAATACATTTTTTAAAACTTATAGTGGATGACACTTGATGTTTTTCAAATATTAATTCATTAATTAAATTAAAAAATGAATAAATTGTAACAAAAATAATAATCCAACAGCATATATAGAAAGGAAAATCGTTTGTTGTATCCCAGCAGTGCAATGGATAGCGCTTTGGACTTCTAATCCATAATGTCGTGGGTTCGAATCCCCCTTGGGATGGCCCAATTTCTGAGAATGTGATTTCTTTATTACTGTACTATTTTATTACAGTAATTAAATTTAATTAATGAATAAATAGCGTGTAACAAAAAATAGTCGAGCACACACACGCCATATGTAGAAAGGAAAATGAAAAAAATCGCTTTTCTTATTTTGCCACTTAATATTTTCATTCTGTCATAAGTATATACATTTTTATATTAATTGTAACAATTTAATAAAAAGTAACTAACCTATATAAAATTTTTCTTTGTTGACCTAAGTCGGAATTGACTTAATTTTTCATATTACTTGTTTAATTCAAAATATTTGCTTAGAAAATAACTTTACGAATTAATATTTTCTCGAGATATATTTTTATAGGTGCATGTATTACAGGTATATACTTGTATATATATACTGAAACGGAAGCATTTATCTAACTATAAATATGTTTTCTGCTTCACTTATTAAAAAATAACTATTACTTTTTTATACTTTATCCTTGCAACATAAATATGAGAAATTTCTCCTAGAATTGTTTCCCCCCACCAATTAGCTTTAAAACATGAAATGATAATTTTTAAAGTAGTTTATTTCAATCACAAAATCTTACAAAGTTGAATTTTTTTGAATTTTGTGTTCAATTGATGAATAACATCTCTTTCAGTTTATACTGATATCTGTGTATTGGTTCCATTGGCTTTCAAAACTTAAAGTTATTTAAAAAAAATACGAAGTTAGAAATTTAAAAACACATGATCTTTTAAGTACATTTTGAGAATTCGAATCACTTAAAATTACTTTCATTATTATAATTTTTTTTACTTTTGAATGAAATAAATCATAATATATAGAATAATTTGTTTAATTCTCCAAATTTTTTCCAGAGATTCTAGGAAACGAAAAGTGGGTGGAAGAGGAACAAAAGAGTAAGAAAGTTGAGTAAGAGCCTACATAATTTAAAACAATTTTTAAAAGGTAATTTTTTCATTCGTTTTACTCTCAGAACCCCAAAATGTAATTTTCATGACCTTGATGTACATTTCACCAGCCCTGCTTCCTGTAAACACTTTAGATTTTTACAAATTATACTTTTCCTTAAAATTTGTGACTTATTTAGATTTTTACAAATTATTTAAGTCACAAATTAAAAGGAAAACTATGCAAGAATTATTATCAATACTAATTTGTAATTAAAAATATAGAACTCTTTGCAGTTATATATTAAACATGAATAAAATAAAGGAAAATTAAATTAATTCCATCGAAATTTTTAGATTTACACTGTCAAGAGAAATATCCTTTCATATTTCATCAAAAAATACTTTTGTACAAAAAATGAATCAATATCCATAAAAAAATGGATTTGGGCTTATAATAAAAAATATACTTATAACAAGCGTGACACATATCCCCAAAATATAGTTTGATTCATTAGCAAAATAAAAATATCTATCTGTATGATACATATGCAAAAATGGAATATTTATTAAAAACGAAATTTAAACATTAAAACTAAAATTTTTACCAAAATGAAAACAATGTTTCATCTTTTGCTTTTGAAGTGCACACAAAATGTCCTTAGTTTATTTAAAAACATTTTTTAGTATTTTCACTAAGTTACTTTTACGATATACCGATACCAAACAAATACTATTAAAGAACGAGGAAGAATTTCCAAATCTTTCTTTTCATACTCCCCTGAAAAAGGGGCGGAATAGAAAACGAGGATCTTTACTGAAGTTTCAATAGAAAATCCTAGTTTCGATTAATTTGTTTTCAATGTTTTAAAAAAAAAAAAAAAAACTTACATTAAATAAAAACTAGAATAACAGGCGTTGATCATCAGAAGTTCTAATTAACCATTGGCCGGATTCGGGAACACTGAGAACGCATGCTCAGTGAGAAGCCCCATGATTCTTCGAAAGCCCTCCAAACTAGATGATCGCCAGTCGGACAAGTTTCCAGACTTTTTCCGATTTCTGGCAGAGGAGCTTGGAACGGTATTGAGATACATTAAGAAATTTTCAACACGTAAGTTCTTTGTTTAGATTTCGTAGTCCCTTAATATTTCACGAAGTAAAATTCTTTGGTATTAGGAAACTTATACTAAAAAACAATTTATAAAAAAAATCCAAATTTTTTTATACGGCTATTTCGACTAGAATAACATTTGCATTATTTTAACATTGTTAAAAGAAACCCTAAGCATTAGTAACTTAATGAATTAGAGGTTTCAAATACTTGCTTTTTTGGTTTAGTATAAAATATGTTAAATATTTATATTATTATTGTGAATAATTGCTTTTTTAAAGAATATTTAAAATATACTGTATTGTGACTATTTCTTAGTAGAATTAATAAAATAGTAAATGAAATATAAAATGTTTTTGATTATGCAGATATGAAACTGCATAAAATAATATTATATATATAAAAAATTAAATTACTTAAAAATAAACTATGCTTATAAAAATAAGCAGAACGACGTCAAATTTGAAAAAGCCTTTAAAATAAAGAGTGACAAAACTTAACATTTATTTCATTACTGCATTATTAGATATTAGAATAAAATGTAAAATATTATAAATCTAGGGTTTTTTTTTTTGACCAGTAGAATATTTTTGTAACTGCAAAGGTTTTTACCTGTTGATACGTTTTAACTAAAATACTCTATTTAGTGATATTTCAAAACTTTTGATCTCATTCTTATTTTTAATTGATACTTAGAAAAATATCCAAGCAAAATTACATTAATTGACAGTAAATAATCGGAAATTGCTAAACACAGTAAAAAACCATTCGATGTTCTAAGTACAAAAAAATGACAAAAAACATAAAAAATATAAAAAAATTTATATAAAAATATAAAAAAATGAGGAGAAATTTCGCTAATTATTTAGAGAAAAAAAGTATTAAATTTTTATGCCTAATGATTTTCTAAATTAAGACCGAAAAGTTTAGTAAGAGCTACACTTCGCCCCAATTATTGCTAAATGTTATATAATATAATCTAATAATTTCTGAACTGTGGATATTTTGATGTTAGAGATATTAAGCTTCTTTCTTTATTAATGAATAATATCATTCAATTTAATCCAAGTTAAATTTCTTCTGATTTTCTAAATAACAATGCTTAGTTTTTCCTTTGAAGCTTAGTCAAGGTACTAAAAACTCCATTAAAACATTATATTAAAATATATACATAGATGTACTTACAAAATAACTAATTAAGTGAAGTTTCTATAAGTTAGCTATTTAGTAAATTACTTTAGTTAGTCAATACAATTAAACAGCTCTGAGAATATTTACTTGCACTCAAACTAATCAATTAATCCGAATGAAAATGTCTGTCATTAACTAGTAAAGCTAATTCTAAAACAGGACGCATTCTGTTCCGGTAAATGTCCTCAGAATTGTCATTAACTCCAACTTTGACTTCACCTAGAGATATACATCAAGATTCACTTTTAAAAAATTTGGGACATCCAGTTTCAATTATACATAAATAAAATTTTCTAAATAAGAAATTCGAAGAGCTAATTTGAAAACAAAATGGCAAAGGTTTCGAATTATTACTGAAATATTCATTTGATTCCTTTGAATTCTATAATTTATTATCCACTTACTTGACACTTTTAAAAAAGAAGTTTTAAAAATTTGAAAGTTTAACTAAAAACATATTGTGTACTGGTTCACTTAAATTAGAAACTATTTTTCACATCTTTCTACGAATTAAATTAATTACCTATTATGAAACTGAACTAATTACTCATTTTTTATTGAGTTTTTGTACTATATATATGTGTGTGCGCCCATTCAACTATGACCTATATGTCTTGTTTTTTTTCTTTGTATTTTGCTTAGTCTGAAGTTAGTTTATAGCAGTTTAATATATATATATATATATATATATATATATATATATATATACTAAACTCTCTCTCTGCTATAAATGTAATGTATGTATAATAAATTAGATGACACTCTAAATGTACAAAATCCCTTTTTTTTTGTCGTACAGATTTTTCACAATAATCAATATGTTCCCTATTTTATTAAATAACATAAATGTGACAGTATAAAATCCCTAATTATTTATATTTAACATAATTTTGTAAATTTAATATTGTTGTTGATAACACACCTGTCCGACGGTGTCAGGTCAAGGTCCACGAAATTCATTGCGGCAAAGAACTAGATGAACGCCTGTCATTATCCGCAGCTTTGAGCACCATATTGTACGATTGGCTCAGTTCCGCCTCTAAAGGTGAGCACTCTGGAGGTGGTCAGGGGCCTTCCAACTCTCTTCCCCTTTGACCAACCTCACGAAAGGACTTGCGGCTGGACGGACGGCTATTTAGAGTGCACAAGCACCATATATTTACAAACACCTATGCTTTCTCGGGGCTTCGAACCCAGGCCCTACGGCACAGCAATCAGTGTCATCTAAATTTAATACAAATGGTAAATGAACCTAAACCATAAATAATTTTTCTTAAAATCTAACATAAATTAGAAAAAAGATGCTATAACAGGACTACACATGGAAAAATACTTTTTTGCAGGAGTATAGTTGCAGGATAAAATACAGTTGGATCCCGATTTAACGAATTCACAGGGACCGAACATTTTGTTCGTTAATTCGGAGTGATTCGTTATATCGGAGTCCAAACAAAATACAAATTTTTTTGCACTTACTTTTTGGAAGTTCTATAAGCAACTGCAGTAGAGCGTCGTTTATCCGAACGTTTATTATCCAGAGCGTCAAATATCCGAACCAAAGTCCGGATACGTTTTCGAACAGTACAATGCTCAACATTTGTTTCTTGTGAGACCAAAAGTGATGGGAAAACCCAAGGTGAAGGATATTTGGGGAATTTCAGTTGTGTTATTTGGTAAACATTTGCACGGAATATTAGGTCAGTTTGTTTCCAAGTGAGGGGGTGTATTCGTACTCTTTTGTTGAGTTGTAAACTGCTATGGCTTCGAATTCAAAACGGAAAAGCAACGTCTTG